TTCCCTAAAGATGGGCCCTCACGGGAGGCAAAAAAAAGGGAACATGGAAGAGACTTTGCCATTCCAGAATGACTGCTCCGACAGGCAAGTGGTCACTGTAAGGACGTGCATAACAAGTCTCTCCCCTCCCTTATACTGAGGCACCTTTGGAGGAGGTGGGCAAACAGGAAGACAAGGCTGCAGAAGGATAAGCTACCTGCCTTTTCTCTTCTATTTTACTGGAGACTCAAGTCAAAAACAAGTTAAATGCTTAAAAAAAAAAAAAAGTGTTTTTCCCCCCCTCTCCCAACTCCAGCTATACTCTGGCTAACAGACGCATGCTGAAAAGGCACCGTCATATGGTTCTCCCTCAAACCTGCTCCTAGAAGAGGTAGGATCCCAGGGCAATACTAGTTTCTCCATCTGCCATTCTGCTTTAACAGCACAATGTGAACCATCAGGATGTCTGGATACAATAACAACGACGATCCTCTGAATGTCACTTATTTTGGAGTAGCCATGGGAAAGATGCAGTTCTACAATAACCAGCTTCTTGTGTTAAGAGCCAAATCTAAGCTACTAACTTCCATTCGGACATTTCAACCATCGTGGGAAGCTCAAAGGTTTGTTTGCAATATACAGGGAAGAGGTTCTTGAAAGAACTACCTGCCGGCTGCAAGCTGAACCCAGCAAGCCGAACTGCTCATTAGCCACGGGACAGGAGCATACTTTCTGATGTACGCACGCTTCTGAAACTGCACACTTCTTTAAAGTTCCCCCCCAAGGTCCTGCCCTAACTAATGATGTTTTTTAAAACTGTCCTTCAATAAATGTGCACGGGTATGCGTGTGCATGTGCCTCCACTGCTCATGTGCTGAGCCAGGCTTTCTTTACAGGGAAGGAGGAACGTGTGCACTGATAGCAAGATTTCTGTTGTGAAAACAAGAGTTCAATATTACCAAGTGGTTACAGTCGAGTGGTTTTATCGTTCTGGTTATCCACGGTATCTAAAATGGGTTCCAGTTAAAACCAGAAGCCGCACAAGGGTTTTGCAACTAACCAGCTGTACTTGGGGAGAGGAAGTAAGTTTCTGTTCAGGTTCTCGATAACTTAAAACTACTCTGACGGCCACAGGAATAATACTGTTGAGTCTGTCCTGCACACCAGCTGCAACCCTGGAGGCCAGACTCCAGAGAATGGTCCTTTAGCAGACAGATCAGCAGGTCAGAACATCTTAAAACAGCAAGGACCTACCCTGTCAGCCCTGGCTTCCAAATGGTACAGCGCTGATTTTAAATCCTCCCAACAAATCCTCCCCCACCAGAAACAATTTTGGGGGGAAAAAAAGCATCTCCAGTTACCTCATTCTTCAGTCCTCAAGAGCAATAAAGCAGAGAATTACCAAAGTCAAGCCCCACCCTTCAAATCCTCCAGACACTCTTTTGCCGTCTGCCATTTCACCTTACAGTTTATAAATCCTGAAGTCTGACCATTTGCACAGTTTTGTCTTTTTGACATTTTGGCTTCCAGAAACGATGTCTAAGAATGTGGAACCAGATGTCACAACATCCCAGCGAAAGGCAAGGAAAAGAAAAACAGTCTCAGCATTTTTATGTTTCAAACAATGGGGAATAACCACAAAAATACCTAAACAACTTTGTCTGCGTGAAGCAACTTCAAAGTCTGAGCACTGCTAGGAATCAGGTGATTTTCCTGGCATCAGGAGGGCTTTAATGTATAGCATCTGGTCTGCTCTACAAGTTATTTAAAAACTGACTGGAACGGCTGTTTTACCCACAAGCAGATCAAATAACAAGACACTGAGTATTTCATGACAGTGATAAGTTGGGCTTCAAGAATGAGGGCTCAAATCTTTGAATTTAAGGCTTCTGAATGTGGCTGGTTGAATGTGAAAGTCCACATCATCCAAACACAGTACATTTCCCTTTGTTTAACCAACGCTTCAGAACTTGGCTATTATACCTACACGGTACGATTTAGAGTCACAGATAAATTCTAGGGTTAGATATTAAACTCATCCTAAGAGAAACCTCTTTGTATGACAATAACAACTGGGAGGCCACTCCCCAAAATGTGATTTCTTTCTGGGACAGTATAACTCATTTTTCCCTTTTTTATATAGAATCGATAGCTATAGAAGTCCACTACCAAGAAATTCCTTTCAAGGAAGCAAAGATCTATTTCTGCCTCGACTCTGCAAGCGAAAGCTATGCATTTGAAAGCCGCGTGCCTGCATCTACTGAGATTGAAAGTTCCTCTCGCACAAACTGTAGTACAGTAGTGTCAAAACAGTCTCTATTTTGAGAATTATATCAAAGACATATCCCTTGTTTTTAAGGTTGGCATCTACCAGCCCTGTCTTTGGTGACTCACTGTCGACTCTCCAAGTTTGGCAGCTGTGGTGAAGGTACCTTGTTTTGGACTTACGAGCTGTGTCGCCATTAAGCTGCGGCAATATTCGCATAGCTTTGCTTTGGCTTGAGTGACTGATGGATTACAAGCAGCATACATTTCCCTCAAAAGAAACCAAACTTGAATTCATCCTGAAGTTAAATAATTTGTGCCTTGTCCTTTAGAAGACTTTTTGCCTGGAATTTGAGGTTTTGTTCCAGTAGTATGCAGCTTAATTGGTATTTTTAGAAGCAAAACTGAGCAAACAGAATAAATTGTATGGTTCCAAGTAAAGTAACCAATCAAGCACAGTCCATTCTCTGTCTAAATGACAGCTGGGGGTTGCTGCTGGATTCACAAGTTACTGATTGACAATGAAAGCGTGTCAGTCACGTTGCTGTACTCCACAATTGCGACCTGCTTAGTTCCAGATGGCTCGCTGTGTGTGGGATCTTTGGATGACACATTACGCTTCAAAATCCTGCCTCCTCTGAGAAGCTGCTCCTGGCCTTCACATTAAGAGCAAGACCACCAGAAATGCAACCCGTTGGTATGTTCTGCCTCAGAAGTGGTAGGTGTGCAATTGTGCTTTGTCCAGACCTAACCCGGGATGAAAGGTTCCATACAAAAAACTGCAAGATGTGGCTAAAATGGCAAATCTCACTTCTATACTTGCTTGCTTTTGTCGACAGTATTCAGAGGGTTTTTAGCTGGACCCACGGTTTGCCTGTTCTCCAGAACACGCTGGCATGGTAGGTTGAGAGGTTGCTGGCTGTATAAAAATCGTGACCTGCGACTAAAAGCTTCCAGGTGATGCTCTGATGCCTTGCTCTGTTGCCTCTTACATAATGCCAACTACAAACCTTTCACTCCAAGCTGAGGTTGGGGAGAACTACAGTCTACTGACTGCAAAATCCTCAAGCTGTTCAAAAATGATATAGTTTACTACTTAAATACTTTTTCTCCTGGCTTCTAGACATCTGGAAGCTGCCAATTCTGTAACCCATCAGCAATAAAACCTCTTGTTAGGAAGGCAGAGAAGCCATGAGAGACTAAGGGGCGAAAGTTTTTGCCAATACATAATCATCCCTTGTCAAGCCCTCCATTTACTTCAGAGGCTGGACACCTATCTACACAACTCTGAAACTAAGGCTGTTTGCAGAGCATTTTTTCTAAAAGGCAGATCCTTGTTTTTCTAAACTCCTCTATTAGTAACTTCCTGGGCATGTCTACTCCAAAATACATTTTTAAGGGAGGATTTCTGTCTTGTGTTAAATTAGGCAATCAAACGATGCCCCAAATAAAGACGGAAATACACCAAGGATAATTCCAAAGAAAAATATCAGTGCATACATGTTCTCTCTACTCCTTATGGAAGAAAGCAGTTATATACATAGAAGGCTTTGATAAAAATCAGGTCAGAACCCTTATGTCTACTTGATGCTTTCCTTGAGGATGGAGGATTGGGAATAACCAGTCCCTTTTCTAGGTGGCAGCACCTGTTTTTGCTGTGTGCAGCTGACTGGGTGCAGGCAGGTAGCACACTACCTCTTCAGACTTGGAATACAACTTCAGACTTGGCCCTTCTACACACATTTCCTCCTCCTCCAGATGTTTATGGGAGCCTTGCACGCATCTGAGAGCAGAATTTGGCCTAAGCGGTTTCTAACAGAGAATCTGCAATGGGAACAGTGTGAAATGGAATAAATCATGGTAGATAAAAATAAGAGAACCTTTGGAGACCTTGTGGATGTCAGGTGTTTGTTCTAATCCGTAAGGAAAAACCTAACGGAAGTCCAAAACAAGAAAGTCTAAAATGTTATTAAAAAGCCATTCTTGTTACCAGACATCAGAGTGCGTTGTGAAGACTCCATCCTTCAGTGATTCCGGGGACATCCAGCGGACCGGCAGCAAGCCTTTCCCTCCTTTCCGATAATAATCTGTCTCATATATATCTCTCGTCATGCCAAAATCTAAAACAAGAAGCAGAAACATACGGTGTGTGGTTATGCACCAAAATAGTTAAAAAAATATCCCCAAAAAACCTGTCTAATGAAACCAACCGAGAATCATGGCAAGCATCTGGGATTTGTCAGCATGGTTTATTTTGCAGGAATACTTCACATACGTGTCACTCCCATTGGAACTAGTGGGAATTTTGCCATTGACTTAGTTCTGTTCCCACAGAAATCAAGAAGAGTCTTGAAAGGTTGGGGAGGGGGGTGTTTTCTAGGACTAGACTAGTATTGCCTCAGGGATGGTGTCACTCAGTTCCACAAGGGAGCATGTGGATCCTGGCTACAGAGATACCAGGAAGTCAGTGCCACCCATGTTTATCACATACAGATTAAGACATTTTTTCCACAACTAACATCATAAACGGATTACACAAGAAGAAGCTGAGCTCTGCATGTGCTGAAATCAATGATTCTTTGTCCCTTAAAAAAAAAATTTTTTTTTAATCTAAAAACGTCGTTTGCACAAGAGTACTTATAGGAAAGTAGGGCTGGAAGGACCTCACAAAGTCATCTAGTCCAGCCCCCAGCTTGAGGCAGAATCATCCTGATTAAGCCATCCCAGGCAATAGTATAGCTTGCTTCTGAAAGTGTTCAAGCATGGAGGCTCCACAACTTCTCTGGGTCACCCGTTTCAATGCCTGACCGCTCTCTAAGTCAGACCACCCACAGCCGTGACCTGAAGTGTTCTATTTGAAATGACTAGATTAAAAAAAAATCTATTTTAGAATTTCCCCTTTTTATCCCAAAAGCTTTCATTCAATTTCTCTTAAGAGTCTATTCAGATCTTGTACAAGATGCTTCTCTTCATTATTGGAAAGCACAAGTATTGGAAACACTGCTCAACTTGGACACTAGGCCTGAAACAGGAAACACACATGTAAGCGCTTGCAAGACTTGGCTCAAACATCGTCCACCTATTTCACGCTCCATTCAAAGTTACTTCTGGGTTTTTTTTTTAAAAAGGTCCGTATTTATTCATCAATTGCTACATGGAAAATGTTAGGCTATGAACAAACCACCTTAAACTAATAGTAACCTGGCTGGAAAGTTAACCCCTAAGTAGAGGGATCTGATGTTACTTTAATTATCATCACCCCTAGGGAACAGCTTCTTTTGCTGAAACTACAAGGTAAGGGGGAAATTCACTTCACCAGCATGAACCCAAAGGATTCAGGCTGTTTCAGGGTGAAGTGCAGCAAAGGGAGGAGAGAACTCTTCCAGCCTTGGCAATCCCCCCATGGCTATTACTTCAGTGTGCGGCTTGGGATAACGGCCGTTTCTCCCACCACACTCCATGCACAGAGTTAGGGAACAGCTTCAGGGCTCTCTCTGCCACTCCAAAGACAGTCCCATATGCCAGCATGACTTTCATCTGGATTAACTGGAAAAATGCTGTACAACGTAATGCAAGTAAGTAACAGAGAGGCGAGGAGCATGAAGATGCTCCCCTTGCAAGCACGCAACAAAAAACCTTCTGCAGTCTAAACAGTCTGGATTAGCATGTTCACTCAAGATGATCCAAACTCTTTGGATGCAAAGGGGTTTTCAGTATCACATAAGAACAGTATAGATAATTACTGATTAAATGCTTGCACAGGTAATCGTTTATAGTTTTAAAGAGCAAAAAAAGTGAGTCTTTCAGAGCCTAACACATTGTAAAGTGTTTGGGAGGAGCCTAATGGCACTGATAAAAGGAGAAATGTTATCAGCTTTTTTTGGTTGTTGCAGCCAATAATTATGGGCACATGCCCAGAGCACCCTGGCAAGTGTACTCCAGTCCCTGTGCCCTGCCACTGGCCTGAGCCTGCAGCACACTACAAGTCCTGGCAAGCAACGGGAGAGGAAAGGGGAGCTGTGAAGCAGTCACAGGGTGCCACGCTCAGCAACGAAAGGACCGTTACAGGCTCCTGCTGCTGCTGCCATGACAATGCTCTGCACACAGAAGGGGCCTGAGCACCAGGGGTGCTGCGGAGATGTTGGGTTGCACGCAGCTGGGGTCTTTATCAGTGCACCCCTACCTGTGATGCTTCCCTGAGCTGCCATATCAAACTGACTCAGATTATAGCAGGCCTGAAAAAGGGCACTTCATGCCTGGAAGCTTGTCTAACATCTCTCCCAACTATATTGTTGATCCAATAAAAAAAAAAAAAGTCAAAAACTTGCTTCTTGCATATTTCTTGGACCATCTCAGTTAAAACACTCCAAGTCCTGCTAGGTTTATACTCCAAGAATCAGTTTCCTACAACAGAAAGCGTTCTGTTACACACACTATTTTAATATGCACCACTCAAAAAAAAACTACCGAAGGCTGAAGTCAGTCCCCCCAGAGAATAATCTGAAATTTCATCCGACTCTATTCTGGGGGCAGGAGTAGAAAAGGGTATCTTAGCACAGCAGTGGGAAAGCCATTTCTGTAATCTGGAGAGAATTCCAGCTCAGATTAGAAAGCCTCCAGCAGGAGCCAACCCCTGCATTCCACTTCCAACTCGAAAAGGCTTGAACGTAATCCTAAAATGCTCCTTCCCGAGTCAATAAACAGCAGGTGGGATTATTTGTATGTGCTGCAAACCCCTCCTCTGCCATAATTAGATACTACTAGCAACTGTTCCTTTAGGACCTAACCCAGATGGCTGAGGCGTTTACACCTGCACGCATCTTGCACTGCAGGACATGTTTTAAACCTGCCCTCTCTTGCACATCTCTCCACTGTGCAGCATCAAACAGAAGCACTGCAAATGTTTCAATTCAGCATCAAACAGAGGCCTTAAAATGAAGCAGGTTTTTGGATAAATTGCATCCATTTCCTGGAATTATTTTATAATGCGTCTTCCTACTAACAGCTTCAAGAATTCCTCTGTTTTCCAAAACTGAGCATATTATATTCGAGTTTCCCACTTGTTTAAGCACAGCTGGAACGCATGAAAACACACCTCCAATTTTCACAGTGAAGTCTTCAGCCACCATGCAATTTCTTGCAGCAAGATCCCTGTGAACAAATTTGTTGGCGTTGAGGTAAGCCATGCCGTCTGCGATCTCTCCTGCCATCTGAATCATCTTCTTCAGAGTTGGAGGCGCCTGGCCAGGGTTATTCTGAGCAAGATCAAGGAGAAATAAGGCGTGAGAAGGGTGGGGTTGGAAAGAAGGGGGAAGAAGCAACTGTTTCCCCTTCAAAAGCAGCAACAGGCTTTTCTTAATTTGGAACCTCGCAAGTCAATCTGACAAGAAATCAGAACCAATGTGAACTGAAACTTATGATTACAGAGACCATAGCATCTACTTAGCGGGAAAATCATGCATTCCCTCTTCAGCCACATCAAGCTTTCTTACAAAACGGAGCCTCCAATTAGCTCCAGCGTAGCTGCACGTTCTATTTTCATGGACTTATAAAAAAAAAAAAGCAAGCAAGCAAGCAAACCAGGTCAAATTTAGTGTTAAAATTCCTTTTCCTCCACCCCACAACATTTTAAAGAGATGAAGCGAGATAGCTGCCTTTCACCTGGCAGCTTTTCTATCAGTGTAAACAAAACAGAAAACGTTACAGGGTAATAAATTATTCCTCCTCTCCCTTGTTCGGTGATTTGATGCTACTCTTGAGCTACTTGCGTAGACCTACAAAAGGGATAAGGTCCCCGGGACACTTGCTTAGAAAACGGATTTCACTCACAACCAAATAAAGGTATACACAGCTTATGTTATCACCACTGTTTGCAGGACGAAGTCTGAGATTGTTGCACGTAGTTCAGCACAGTCACACACGGGTATAACTTGTGTCAGTGTGTATTTGGCCGAAAGTCATCCTCCGCTTACACAGCAAGTCTACCATAACACTGCTAAGTACAGATCTAGTTATCTCCAATCCTGACTCGGTCTCTAACCAATACTCTACACGAAGATCCAAACTCTACCTCAACTTGGGGGTTAACAGTCTCAGGGTTGACCTGGAGACTAATTAACAGTTGTTTCTAATATATAAACAGTGAGTGCTTGCTACTATGAATCTCTCTGCTCCTTTACTCTGGATACTTCCAAGATCCCCAAGTTCAAAAAACAACTGACCCCACCAAAAAAGACCCACAGTAGCTAGAATTAAGAAAACCCATGGACATTCAATGGAAGTTTGCACATTACTGGACAAACACAGGTGGGAACTTTTGTGAAGACGTAAGGGTTACAACAGCACGTGAAATCAGTGGCTAAGGAAGACGCGGCAGTGAGTTGGCAGGGAACCTGCCACCCAATGGAGCCAGAACGCACTGAAGTACGAGAAGGATTGTAGGATATCAGTTCTTCCCTAACCAGAGCCTGTGTTTCACAGACCAAGGCTAAAAGGGAAGCAGCAGTTAATTCACACCATTACCCATTTAATAGGCTACCTTCTGGGATGGGGACAATAGCTGTATAAGCAAAGAGGAGGAAAAACAGAGTAGATGGCGCCCAACATTTTGGTCATTTCCTTATTATTAATACCATCACTGCCCTGTCTCCCATGCTACAGAATTCAGTTACCTTAACTCTTAAGCAAAGCTCTTCAATTTAATCCACAACCTGCATCTTAATAAAAACAGCCTCAGCTGAATGCTTCCTCAGATGCAAATCCATTCCTAATTGCCATTAAATGATGGGGTCAGAACCATATTTAAGCAACCCGCCTTTTGTTATATGAAATGCCCTTCAGTTTACACCCAGGATTCATTCTCTTTCACGCAAACCAGGTGTTCTCACTCTGTTGTAGTAAATTATTTATGTCAGAAGTGCCTGCTAACGAAACGGCGGGTGAACACATTTTATACACACACTGCTATCCTGGAAGAGCAGGAAGTGACCTAGCAGTACTCTTTCCTAACCTTTCAGACCCTGACTTGTACAAGAGTCATTTCATCTGTTGGACTGACAGGCTAAATATTAAACATCACATGTAAGGCTAAATATTGGTGTTGACTGCAAAGGGGTCATTCATAATTAAGCTTGTTCATAATTAACATAAAAAAACAAAAAGGCTGCGTGTGGGGTTACTTCATGAACAATTACCCAAACTCACGCATGTTTCAGACTATCATGTTGTTTTGCAGCTTTCTCAAAAGTCAGATTAAGGAAAGAAGAGTCTATTCCAATCTGGATAAGACATTTAGCAACACTAGGATGGGATACAAGTAGGTTTCATCTCCCCCAGTTAAGCTGCTTCATATAGATCAAGGGGGAGATGAGCAAATAGCCAACTGAACTCAGCAGCAGATGATCCTCTGGGGCAGGTGTTATGAACACCCCAGACCACAAAGCAATACACTGACAAAACTGATGCTTCAGTTACTGGGATCTTGTGTTATCTGGCTGGTCACAAGAAGCAAACTGCACAGGACACACAGATTAGAAAGCAGAACGATCACAGAGCAAAGAATCTTAAAGCATCTGCTGAGTAAGGGCCTTGGCTTTAATGTTTACAAGCTAAAAAAGAATCGAGGGCTAGCCCTATATTTTGCAATGATCTGTTTGTACCTAATATGTGATTTAACAGAGACAGGGCCACGACCTTTAAAATCAAGGGGAGGGGAGAAGAAAATAAGATGGGATAAAAGTGAAGCATGCGAAAAGGTCCGAACCCTGCTAACCCACACAGCGATACGCCTAGTTTAAAGTAAAGCAATGGCCCATAAGGCTCGGCTGCTTTGCCAGCCAACCCAGTGCAGGTGAATGGGCCAACTGGGGGGCAGGAAGGTTGACACCACAAACAAACAACAGCTGCTCCCAACAGCTTGGGAAACTGAGAGCAAGGGTAAGACTAGCATGCTGAACTTCTCACCTTCCCTTGCAAGAGGATTTAACAAACACACGTGTGCATACACATGTACACGTACACCCTGCCACCTGCTGCTCACCTCAGTGTCTGGCCGCAGAGACCTCAGGTAGCTCTTGAGATCCCCGCGTGTCATCAGTTCCATAATAACCAGAGTAGGTTGGCCTTGAGAGACAACTCCAAGCAACCGTACCTGAAAGGGAAGAGTTATGATTACCCAGCACTTGCAGAGACAAACTCAGGCTATCATTAACCATTTAAAACCCTGGCAATTGATTAGGAGAGGCCCCAAACTGGAACCCATACCCACAAGCTTGGGGAAGGGTTTGGAAATCAATTTGGATGCAAACTGTGGAACAAGGGCCATCCCTATCAGCTTGTCATCACAAGTCATTTCTGGCACTAGTCAACTGAGCCGTGGCACTGTCGTCACCATGCCAGGGGACATGGCACTGTTAAGATCAGCCCCGGTCATCTTCAAGCCACTTACCACATGGTGACAGTTGAACTCCTTCATCACTGAGGCCTCGTTTAGGAACTCGATCCGCTCCCGCATGCTGGCAGACTCGTTGACCGTTTTGATGGCCACCCGAGTTTCTGGCTCGTCCTTCACCACGCCCTTTGCTATCCCCTCATATACCATTCCAAAGGAGCCCTGCCCAAGCTCCCGGCACATGGTGATCTTCTCACGAGGCACTTCCCACTCATCAGGAACATACACTAGAAACAAAGAGAGCAGTCAATGCCGTTCCACATGCCAGGATATGGCTACAAGACACTCAACCCCCGCAGTTCAATAATATGCAATGGTTTCCACAGCCTTTCACAGGGAATGTACATACTTCAAACATTTACCGGGTACCCACTGATTCAAGAATCTTTCTTCCTCCCTCAGCAAATCCCCCAGACCCAGCAGTCAAGGAAACAAGATTTTCATCCCAAGAAACTGACAACTAACGAGCTTGCTTTTCTGCAACAGGACAGTTTGAAGAGGCCCCGAACTACATGACCATTTTAATTCTATTGGAAACTAATTATTTGATGGCTACCAGCCTAAACCTTAAAGGCTGCGGGGGGGGGGTGTTGGTAGAATTTGAGAGATGTAACTATAGCTCCTGCATAAGGAAAAACGTGTAGTTTGAGCTACTGCCTACAAACTCAGCATGAGGAACTGTGGTGGAAAGCTGAGCAGTGTGGACAGAGCTCTGAAGCCAGGGACAAATAAACCTTTACTGCTTTAAGAGAAGGGGAGTTGGCATCAGCTGTTATGATGCAACCCTTATGTCTGCAAGCTCCTGTGGCAACACCAGTAAGCCAGATGGGTGCACATGACTGGGGAGAAAAGAGGGTTAAAGTTGCAATGATTTTGCTACACTTGTATTGCTCCAGAATCCTGCAGATGTAATGATTGCTGCATTGTAACTAGCATAAATTGCAGTTGATAGAATTGATACATCTGTCTCTATCCTAACAGTATGAGCCTTGCCCCGGGTTTGCTGCTTCCAGATTCCTCCACAGAGCATTAAACAATCTACAAAGTTCGCCTCATCAAGTGCTGTGTGAATTTAGTGTATGGCACGTCCGCTATCAGGGGACTGATTTGCTAACCACAGGGGAACAGACGCTCTGATCTAGCACATCTTTTGCATAGCTATCTATTCTGATCACACACACAGCCCAGTGCTCCTATAAAAGCAGGGCCTTACTGCTGTAGCGCCCGTTTGACACAAAGCAGACAGGAGACCACTGAAGCTCGCTGCTGGGAAGAATTATTGCCGCAAGCAAGAAAACCTTGGAACATCTCAGCTCCAAGTAGCCACTGCTGCTGCTGCTGCCTGTCAGTCATCAAGGGAAAAGGCCACACAGGCACCAGCTCCAAATCGGTGCAGTTAGAGGCGGCAGAAACCAAAGATTTCGGCCAGAATGTCAACAGGCCCTCCAGTGAATTGGTGCTACTGCAACAAAAGACACCAAGGGGAAGGGGTCTGCTGAAATAGTTAGGCGATTGGGGGCTCCGGGGAACCCGGCTCCTGCAGAGATGCATTCCCCCTCTTCAGGGCTTAGCTAGATAAACTGATGCCTCAGACTCCTTGGAAGACCTGACGCACTCCCCCACTATGAACCGGGCAATTTTCTAACCTGCACTGTGGCATGTACACACTGCTTATACGTATACACAAACGCTGCTTTGCCCTACATTTATTGCACAGCATGTGCTAAACTCAGGGCTAAGGAGCTCATCCAAAGTGCCATCCCCAGAGCCTGCTCACTCTTCCTTTGTCTGCTGCCGGTTCCTCGAAAGCAGGAATTCTTGGATGAAATCAGAAATTTTCTTTTGGAAAACACCAATTTGTGGGAATGGAGGCTGCATGTTTTGATGAATGCTTTGTGAATCAAAGGCAGGTCATCATTAGAGCTCTTCAGGTTTCTGACAAGCTCGTCTGGCAGGGAACCAGGCGTCCAGGGTTCATGGCTCCAGGGCAACCCAGCCCTGCCAACTGCCCCAGAGCTGGGGAGCCCTGGGCTTCCGGACAGCCGGGCCAGCTGGCTCTCTGGGCCGCAGTTTCCTGCTGTGATTCCGGGATGGGAAGCAGTGAGATGAACAAGAATTGTGCATGTCAATTTGGCAGCTGTAAAGAGCCCCTGGGGAGAAGGCTTCCACCGAGTAACTCTATGTCTGTGGTTCCGAAGCAGGAATTTTCAAAATTCCCATTTCTTTGGAAATTGAAGGGAAAATTGGTTTCATTCCAACTCGGAGATGAACTCAAATTTCCCAGAAATCCAAAATCCTGAGATTTTGCCAGTTCTATTCAGAAGCAAATATATGCAAGGGCATGATCTAAAGTAAAATCACTTACCAGGTACAAGCTGCAAACACTCTGAGGTCAGCTTTCCTGACCATCAGCTATTTGACAACGAGCCCTTGCAGCAGCTTTGTCCTGTGCAAGGTTATCAGGGTGTTCCCAAAACACCCAAAGACAGGAAAGTTTCCCCAATTTCGCTCTCAGCTCAACCTTCTTTCAGAACTATGAAATCAGGCAGCAGGAAATAAAGAATTTTTGCAGGTGCCCATGTCCAAAGCAGGCTTCAGATTCAATAGCCTAAAGCAACACAAATGTTTTCTTTACTGGCTCCCTCAAATTCACCATTAACATGGGATAATTTTTTTTTTTGCTTCTGGGGCTGTGTGGAGCAACTGAAAGGTTTATCTTAAACAGAACATCTGTATTCCCCTTTAAGGGTGATGGACCTTCCTGGGTGATGGACCCAGGAAGGTCTATCACCCAGGACTTTCTGCTTCTCCCTCATCTTTCCAATATCCAAACAATGAATTGGCACCCTTCTTCCAGTCCATTTACACTGATAAAAGGTTGGAGACTGACAAAGTTCTCCTTAAAAGCACCTACACCTCATGTTGCTCATACAACATTAACAAGCGGGACGAATAGCCTGATCTCAGTTGGGCATTTTAGACACTAACAGAATAGAAAGACTCCAAAGATAAAATTACTCAAGAACCAGCTACAAATATACAAGATCAAGTTGAAACTAGCTCAAAAAAGAACTGTTTTGTCAGCTTTGGAACAACAGTCGTCTTTATACTACTGGGTATTAACACAAAGGGATATAGATTACATTATGCATCTGTGCTTGCTTTCATAACATTTCAACACGTGAAGCACTCGTCTCACAGGCCTGCCCGCCTGCATCTCCACATGTGAAAGGTCTTTCTTCATTTTTTTAAACAAACAAGTGCTCTGAAACTAGCATTCAGAGTTGTCTGAATGGGTTACAAATGTATATAGACTAGTATGACACAGGTTTTCACGAATGATTTTCATTTCGGTGAGAACATCCGAACGGCAAACCCAGGCCGGTGGCTGAGAATCCCGAAGGAAAGCTGATGCATTTAGACTTACTCTATCACTTTTATGGACCTGCAACTCCCCAAATTAAGCTTGACTGGGTCTCTCACAACACAGTATAAGCAAGTAAAAGCATTAGAAGGCCATACTCACCATCAGAAGCACTGAAGTACTCGGGGTTCACAGAAGCATACAGCACTCCATTTCCCAATCTGTCACTGTTCCTGTTAAGCACATGAAACGTATATTTTTAGCTCGTTCATAAAACCCCCACTAAATTTCAAACTCCCTCCTACTCAAGTCTTCCACGGTCTGCTCCACTACGTGACCCCTGGCTCTCAAGGCGAGAGTGGAGCTGACAACATCAGTCTAACGGAAGAGGAAACTCTTGTTCTCCAGACGTACATCTACACCCCCATCAGACCACCTCTGCTTTGCCACAGCCTTCCTGGAAGACCCACAGCTCGTTATCAGTCAACTTTACATCCCATCTGCACAGAAGAGTGGATAGTGAGCTGGTTCTTACACATCTTTTTATAATAGAATAAAAAGATCTTCTCGGGGCGGAGACTGGATGGTGATGTAGCACGCAGGAGAGCTGGGCTCAGGATCAGCTCACAGCATTGCATGCTGGCCATTGTGAAGGAGAATGCTTATGCTTGGAATAGGGTTAAGGTTTTAGGAAGCTTGTATGCGACCTGTTTTGTGATCTTTTACTACTGTCGTTGCTTTAGTTTTCCAAGAACTCTAAACTGTTTGAGGTTAGGGTGCTTTTATTAATAAAACTTTTTTGATGAATTAATCAATTAATAAATAAATAAAATTAGCCTAATTTCCTAGAATTGTCAGACTGATAAATTGCCAAGGTTCTGGGAAAGGAGACCAGATGTTTTGCTCTCCGAGCCAGAAGAAAGCAACAAGGAGCATGAGTTGGCAGGAGCTTTGGCTAGTGAGAAGTCAAAGAAGGGGTCACTCTATCCCTAGTATGCTAGAGTAAAGCATATCCCTGGATACATATACAAGAGACACTTGTAAAGTGAATTTAAGTAGTAGTTAATGGGAACACTCCAAATAAATATATTAGACAGAGTCAAAAAGATAATGCAAGTCTCCACATGCAACCTGCAAGGCTGTCAAGGCATATTAAGAGCTGGTGTGTATTTTATGCAGTTTCCTTAGGTTTCCCTTATTTAACTAGAACATTTCCAGGTTGTGGAAACCAAATAAAGAAAGATCAATTGTACAAGCTCTCAGACCGACCACCTGCTGCCCGGAAAATAAGTGTTTTGTTGGCATGCTCAAAATGGATTAAAAAACTGTTAGAATTTGCTGCTTTGAATTTGCAAGAAATCGAATGACTCTGAATCAAAACAAATGTCTGTGGTTTGGAAAGGGATCCAAATGACTGGCTTCTCTTTTTTCTGCCTTTGTTATCGCAATAGATATGTTCCCAAAAACCTGGTAACACAGAAAGGAAATTAAAAACCCCTTTCCACATTTCATGCAGCTAAGAGGTGCTCACTAGTAAATGCAAGCCTTCTCTTCTTCTGTCGGCAAGAGAGAACCTGCTGTAGCCTCTGCTATGTAATCCTTCCAATGCCATCCTGGCATCAAAATCAAACTCCCCCTTTGGGGGCACTGAATTGCTTCTTTCCACTTAGTCGGAGTCAGAAGAGCTAGAACTCACCTCTTTTTGTTAAAGACATACAGCATTATCATCAGCCCTCCAATGATCAGCAGAACCGCTATGGGGAGCGCAATGATCAAGTGCAAGAAGTTCCCATACTCTGCTGCTGCAACAGACAAGAAAGAAGATGTTTTTATTCAGGTCAATACAGAATTTCTATCGACACCAGAGCATTCTCGAGCGTGCAGTATATTGCCAAACCCCAAGCTCAAGCTACTCGTTTTTCTAGCTGAAGTGAAAAAATGTATTCAGGAAGACTCACTAACAAAAGATGACTGGAGAACGAGAAATCAGACAAAGAGGAGAGTACTGATGTCCTAAAAGAGCAGTCTCCTGGCTTAATGGAGTTCTGTTATTGCTAGCTATGTTTAAGTGCTTCTGTTCTTTAAAGATTAACACTTTTATTCCTTTTAGTTATTACTCATATATATTTAGAAACAGCATACAGAAACAGATTTCATTGCTTTAAGTTCACCTTGAACGCCAGCAAATGTTATTTTTATATATATATATATATATATCTAGATAGATAGATAGATAGATAGATAGATAGATAGATATCTATATATAAAATAGGAATGAGAGAAGCACAACAGTATTTTGTCTGTTGATCCAACAATCTTCTAACTAAAAACAAAATGGGGAAAAAAAAATCCATGCAGGTGTATGAATACAAGCAGCTTTTTGGGGTCTGAGGTTTGAAAACATGAGCACAGGATGGAACTTTTTTTTTTTTTTGGCTTGTTTTACCAATCTGTTCATCTTCATAAAGAAATTCTACTATTTAGCATTGCTCCCTCTCACATCAATGAATTGTCTGATATTGATATGACATGAGGTAGGTGGTAGGGAGAAGAAGTCTTTTAGAAAGAAAAGAAGCTCTTAAAGCAGTTTCTCACACGCTTTATAGCATAGGTTAAGTTAGCCAAATGGCAGCATCAGTTCCAGATTCCAATGGGTCATGCTGCCACATGATTATCCCAAAACTACTTTTCCACCCACAATTAGTATATCAAAGTGACAACAGATTACTCTTAACAATGTGTTTGTATACCCTCATTACCTCTCTATATGTGGGTCTATATATGTGTATTTATAGGGGAGCAGAAAACAGGACTTGGACTCATATTCTTTCCATACATAGGAATTTTCCAACGAAGAGAACACAGAACTAACTCTTGAAGTTATCAGCAGTGAGAAAGCATGCTGTGAGAATAAGGAGGATGTTTCGATTCCCCACAATTACACATGTAAACACAACAGGAAAAAGGGGAAAAAAAAACTTAGGATGCAAAGCTAAATACATCCTATCACTTTCTTCTTACGTTTGGGCTGTACGTAGAAAGACACCGGCTCAGTCCAGGACCCATTGCCAGCCAAAGAAGTGGCCTGCACCCTGGCAGAAAAGTTTCCAGGGTTCAGATGGGTTAGTTTTGCTCCTCCAAGCTTCTTGTATTCCTGCCTAGAAACACATTCCCGCTTCTCCTGAAAGAACAAGAGCAGTTTGCAGTTCATATAAATATTTTTTTATGCTTGTACTTCACAGAAACCCAATCAGGCTGCTGGGCTGCATACATTCATGATGTAAGCTGGCTTCTTAAACTGAAATCAGAACGCCCTTTTTTCAAATGAGGGATACTTGGAATCCACTAATGGCTAGATCTGCAGGCTAGGAAACAGGATTACGGTTTTTTATGGTCAGAACTATTGCCGTTAACAGCACGCTTTATGTTTCAATGCCTTAGTTTACCCATCTGTTAAACAAGCACAAAAAATGTCTCGCAGGTAGCTTGCAAGACAGGCTAGAAAACTACTCTTTTGTTCTGGCCATAAGTCACACCTTGCCCAGAATGCACAAAACTATTCTTTGCCTTGCCACTTAGTGATGAGACCAGTTGTCCAGGAAGCGGGAGGTCTTGGTTATCGTGCTAAACTTCCTGCTACTGTGAGATGTGGCATGTAACCACAAGTGCCCACAACCTGAGTGGTAAGAAAAACTCTTAATGCCATGCTAGGACTTTCCTTAAGCACAGACTCAAACAAAACCACTACCTCCACTTGCACTCTCACCCTTGTCTGCCCCTGGATAGCCTGTTAGGTCTGGTAAAACCACAGAATAAATAAGGTGGCTCTGCCTGTCATTACTTCAAATAGAGGAGTATAAAAACTTCCAAATCCTCACCTCTCCATGTTGCCCATATTTGATTTCGTACATGAGTATCAACCCATTCGGGGTTGCTGGTTCTGACCACTTCAGGTAGATGGTGTTTTCTTCTTTCACTTCCCACGTTACTGCTCCTGGAATGTTATCTGCTCCTTCTACAACACAATTACAAGAGTTGATTGTAAAGGCAGTACTGGAGCCTGTCTGAATTGGAGACAACTGCTGGAATGAGTGATGCAAAAGATAAAAGGCAAAATTCCAGAGGGGCCAAAATACTGCAGTAAGTATTGTTCAAATAACTAGGGAGCAAGGAGTGCTTGCAAGGGGCTTTCTGGAGAGCCTAGCATTCTTTGAACTGCGACTGCCACAGCTGGCAGTACACAGGCCTCCAAACATTAGCATGCATTAAATGCTAGAACACAAAGCAGGGGTGAAGAACCTGGTCTATTGCAGCAACTGGTTCTTTCAGACCTCCAAATAGCAGGGAGGGAAGTCAGTCCGAGCAAACAGCTTTAAAAGGTCCAACATCGCAGCAGCAGTTGCTGTCACATTTCTGCTGAGCTACTTGCTGAATAGTGTCGGTACCACAAACATACAAAGAGTGGCTCAGCAGGGAAGCATGTACATGATGGGGTCTGCACCAGAATCAGATGTCCTGCAGCATGTCCACTCATGACTTTTATGATGGAGAGACATGAGCAGTCTACTGCTTTATCCTACCACCAATGCTTTTGGTTTTGGAACTAAGACAAGCGGCTCCCCACAGACTGCTGCACATATGAATGCTGCTCAGTCAGAGGAAAAGGGGACACTTTCAATAACACAGGCACTCTGTGCCAAACGCTACGAAACTCGTAAAAGCCTTCCGCTTCTGAGAACTGTAGGCTAAGAATTTGGGAACGTTTGCTTCCTTTCCCCTGATCTTACAGATTTCCCTGCTTCCTTCAAATAAGCAATGCTTCTGCACCACACTGCCCATCGCTGGACCTGGAATATCACAGGGCTTCCAGAAACAAAGCTGACTTGCTGCTGCTCTGCATCAAAACGAAACCAGATACCTGCTGGTGTTATAAGCGTTGGCTGACTGCACATGGGCTCTTACTAAAACCAGATTCATTCTTCTCAGATGAAAAATCAGTAGGGGCCAGAATGGAGAATGGTATCCGTATTCTCCATTTGCACTATGCTGGTTGCTTGCAACTGTCATGAAAGTGACACAGTATTATGTCCCCAGACTTGACAAATGCAATCACTTCTGTGACAGAAGCAGCAGTTGGTTTTCATGGCATATGCAACAGTAAGCCGCAAACATGTGGCAAACCATTCAGTGAGAACCGGGTAAAAAGGGAACTCACTGATGGAAACTTTTCTCCCTACTTCTGTTGAGAATGACAGGAAAGATGCAATCACACCTTCTGTCCAAACCTGACCCTGGGGCTCAAGAAATTTGTCAACACCCACTTCCACTCCCCAGTTGATTTGCATAACTTTCTGGGCAGATGAATTGCTTTGCCTTCTCCTGATAAGTGAACTGCCCCCTAGACTCTGGAGTGATGGACCCCTAGCAGGCACTGATACAGCACGATAGCTGCATAATGCACTTGATTTATTTTACACCCGCCCACCCTTTAAAGAAGCACTGTTTTCTATTTGGTTTCCAAAGCAGTTCTTCTGTATGAGATACATGCATCTTCTGTAAAATAAAATTCACGCTTTAGAGACTTTTCAGACGGTACCTGCAGGCATGGTTCTTGCAAAGACAAAGTTGGAAGCACTGCAGCCAAGGGTCTCCGCTTCATGGTTGCAGCTGTGAATATCAATCCGGTAAAGAGTAAAAGGCTGGAGGTGGGAGATCACAGTCCTCTCCTTGCCTTCCACTTTGGTCTCATAGAATGGGTACTCCATTTCACTCTCCTCCGCATCAGAAGCATTAGCAAAGTGATCAGTCCCTGTCGTGTTCCTGTTCCTACTGGCAAGAGTAGCATTTGCAACTCGAAACACGTCCCTGCGCTTCCGGTCAGGTCTGCAGAGAACAAAGGTATATGTAGAAAAGGGTCCACTGAATAGGTTAACTTGTAAAGCCAACCCCACAAAGAGGGAAGAAAACTGAGACAGGAGACAGTAATCTAATTGGCTTCAGAGATAAAAAAAAGAACAGAAGAACGAAAGGAGAAGGAACTGCAAAGTAATAGCAATAGAAGCTCATTTCTTGGTGTGAATATGCTGTATGCTTAGGAAACCCTTTAACTGTCCACTTCAGAAAGAGATCAAAACAATCTTTTAGGCCCCAATTCTGTCCCAAGTGAGTGTGTAGACTTCCGCTGACCTCACCAGAGCTGACATGATGCTGAATGGCAAATATGAACCCAAGATTATTAAAGAAGCAAATCTGATTTGTATTTGATTTTGCTGATGCTGGAGGGAAAAAGAAACAACCAGAAGTCACAGATTTAAAAGCTTAGGAAGAAAATGAATCTACTGAATAAGCAAGAACTGTAAGCCTCCTAGGTTCCATTATAATTTTTTAGTTAGGATGAAATTATTATAGTTAGAAGCTTCTTAATTTGTTGTGTTGAGGAAACAGACTGTGAAAGTTAACAGCTGTGCACTTGTGACAATTGTATTCCTTCTATACTACACCTTTCTGTAGCAAGGCCTGTACCAATGGCCAACCTTCTGACTTTAGAAAAATCAGCATGGTAATACAGGTGTGTATTGAAAAAGAGTCCACTGAGCAGCTTTTGTGACTCAACAGCCCACAAGTATTTCTATACAGGGGAAAAAAAGGAAAGCTAAAATTACCAAATAAAAACTTTTAGAACTGACTTGTAAGGTCCCATGTTGTAAACTGTCATTGTGGAGACAAACACACACACACATCTAGAGTCAATCTCTGCACCGAAGTAAAAAGCATGCAATCTGTTTCAAGTCTGAGGACTGCCAGTGGAGAACAGACCTATTTGTCAGTTGTTGCTAAGGAGAAAAAATGCAAATGACAGAACGACTCCAACTACAGCACGTCACTGGTCCATAAGAGGCGTCACGCGCTCTTCAGTTTGGGGTTTCTCTACACACAAACCCAGACCGCAGAAGTAGGCTGACCGTTTCCTGATTCAGTCCTGGTCAATGAAGTTGTCATGATTTCACTCTGAATGAGCAGAACACCCAGAAAGCAAGGTGACTAAGAAAAATCAGCAGAGAATCTATACCAGAGATGTTTCCTTCGTTGTGCCACCTCTCACATACCATATACGACCGCCTAGTACTAGGCCACTGCTGGGTCTATTGATTATAATGGTGATGGTAATTATTTCAACACATCCCTGATCCAAGACATGAGACTTGGAAACTGAGCGAAAAAGTATCCCCCATCAGCATGGAAACACATTCATTCAACCCAACTCATCCTAGCAGCCATAGCCTACTCCACCCCATGGAAAAGGAGCTGCAAGTTTACTCAGGTAAGTTTGGTTTAGGAATCTATAGGCAGAAGCTGGATGAAGCTTTAAAGTTCAATGAGAGAGTTTCTAAAATCCTTTGGTGGTGGCAGCACGTACATTAAATCAACCACAGCATAGAGCGCAGATAAGGCAAAGGATCTCTTCGTTAACTGGCAACACAAACACCCAACGTGATCTATGTAGCCAAGTCTCACACTGGCACAAAATGGGAGAATTTCCTAGTGAACACAGCATAAAGCCCTCATCTGGACATAAAGAAGAACCTCTTCACTGTCCGGGCCCCCAAGGCCTGGAACAGAGTGATGCCAGAGGTAGTGCAAGGACCTACTCTGGACTCCTTTAAGAGACATCTGGATGTTTATCTTGCTGGGATCCTTTGACCCCAGCTGACTTCCTGCCCCTGCCCCTGGGGCAGGGGGCTGGACTCGATGAGCTTCTGAGGTCCCTTCCAGCCCTAATGTCTATGAAATCTCTCTGATGATACCTACTGAAATGGTTAGGCCTAGCAGTGCTGTGAGTAGGCAAAGCCATCATTCATTCCCTCACTCTTCCTCAACAGTGCAAGAACTTTTGGACCATACAGAAGCACTAGGATGTCTGTCCCTGAAAGAGAACATTGCACAGTGTTGGGACAAAGACATGAGATTAAAAATCATCATCATCATCCACCAAGGTACAGGTCAGCATAACAGCACATTGTAGTGATCAGAGGGCTGAAAGGCACTGCTTTACCTACCACTGCCTTTATAGGATGCATAAAGGTTTGCTCTATAGCAGTCACTGAAAACATGTAAAACAGGGCGCTACACTACCTTAAAAAAAATAAATTATAGATACAGAATGTGCAGGCAAAAAAAATAAAATAAAAAAGATATAGTCACGTTAGGGAGAGACAGAGACCCACAGATTAACCACAAGGCAAACATAACTAAAATACTAAGGGACTGGACATCAATGACTTTCTGTCAAGCAACTGGCTGTTTTGCTGGAACACCCAAATGAGGAAAAAATTAGTACCTGAGAAACAACTTAGGCAGCCAAAAATAAAAGCAGATCTTGAGGTAAAAGGACATGAAAATCCACCTAGCCTCCAAGTGAAAGAAAGAAGAGCAAAAGATAAGGAAATAAAAACCAACCTGAATGGAGGGGGAAAAAAACTGAGAGAAAGAAAAAGGAAATGACAACTTAGTGCAAAATCTAACTGCTCTTCCATCTTGGGCTCATTTGAAAAGTTATGATATCCAAGATGCACAGGTTTAGTCTCTCTCTGCACTAGGGAATCAAGGAAAAGGGGCAGAGCAATAGTTCCCACAGTGCTGTAAAGGCAGCTTCAGCACTACAAGTGGTTCTGTATGTACCCATCCTACCCCAGGTGTGATGGGTTACTGCAAGTTTTTAAGTAAACTTGACATTACTGCAAGTTTTGAAGTAACCTGAAAACCACACGGTCAGATTCTTTTATTTACTTGCTGTACTTTTCATGATGTCCCAAAGACCGGGAAGGTCCAGGTAGAGCACTGGAAGCACAACCTCGTCTAATGAGGCTTGTGTTGACATATGAATCAACTTCCCCCGCGGGAAAGAAAAGGAAAAAAATAGACATCTGCAAGGAACAAGTTGCTTAGATTTGTCCCAGGGAGAAATCTCACCAGGTCATAATCTCACATTTCCCTGACATTCAGATTTCTTAAAAGTCACTTAATTCCTCTGCTACAAGTCTTGGATCCCATCTGCTACCACTGTTATGTCAGTGAAAAGAAGGGAGTGTGTGCGTGCGTGTGTGCATGCGCACCCCACCCCTCCAATTCTAAAAGCAAATAAGCTGGGGTGGGGGCCATGGAGGGATATAGTAAAGCACCCAGCATGTGTCGTTCCACTTAAAATCTTAGAAAGGTCCAATATAGGGGTAAAAATTGTTAACAATTTGTTCAAGCTTCCCTTCTTCCTTCTCTTTCTCAGTTAGGTCCAGGAAAGTTTATCCCATGCAAACTTAGTAAAGCTGTTCAAATGACAAAGCTCAAGCCAAACACATTTTTTCCTCTGTAAAACTAATATTGTGCGACCTTTGGCAAGGTATAACTTACACATGCCTTTCAGAGACTCCTGGGCCAAAGCCACCTCTTGTTTACATCACATGGACTGCTCACGACTGACACGCACCGTAACCGGCCAGCACAGGACCCGGCCCATTAATGTATCAGTAGCTAACGCTACCTCCGGATGTTGTCTGAAACGCAGCACAAGTCAGCGCAACAATTCAACACTTCCACTAAAAGGCAGCACTATTTATGGCTTGTATTCTGAAAGTCCCTGCCCCAAAAGAGCTTACAGTCCAACACGTCCCTAAATAAAAATACTAAAGATGAAGCTAGTGAAGAGAGTAGGCTTTCTGAGACTTAGCCTTACTGTCTCAAAAGACTGCACATTAGAAGTCCCTTAGACGCTGATTTCCCATCGTTCTGCACCAGCCAAGAGAGACAATGAGACTCCATGTGTGATCAAAATCTGACTGCTTCCATAGCAATACAGCATTTGTACACAGTGTGCTGGCTCCATGCTCCAATTATCTGAAGTAAAAACAGCTCACACACAAGGTAAATTAGAAACTCAAGTATCAAACCACTGAAGAATTCAATAGTATCTGCTCCAAGACACCATATAAAATGCAGTTCAACAAGTAAGCCTCCATTAACATGTAAGCAGCAGCCTTCACCATAAAAGAGAAAGTACAATCAATTCCCAGCTGCTGAAAGAGCCCTGGAAACTTAACACACTCTCCATAATTAGTGCAGATACGAATTAGAAAGAGCAACCATTTTTAATTCTACAAGGCACGAGTACTCCTTTAATTTCTAAGGTCAGATTAAATCTTCATGATGAGTTACCTAAGTACTTAAAAGGGGGGGAGAAGGGGAGGAAGAGAGAGAGAGATCATGTTTGAAACCAGTTGTCTGCCATGTAGTGCTCATCTCTGAAACTCTTATAAGCAAAGAACTCCTTAAGTGACCCTTGATTCTACAAAGGAACAATTGCAAAAAGGTCCTTGAACAATACAGGTAAGGACCCTTGCAATTAGCTAAAATAGGGAGAGGCAGGTGAAAATTAGTAGAGCCTTAGAGAAGTAGGACAACTGCAAATTGCCTTGTTCCTTGTGAGGCAACGTTTTGACGTGTTTTAGGTGTTATCCAAAGATGCTTTCAAGTTTCAATACCTTGTGCCAAAGGAAATCTGTAACATTCCCCCAGTCAAGCGAAACCTGTATCATTCCCCCAGGCCAGGACCGCTAAAGGCCAATGTCTCTTACCTGGGGACAAAGATGGAGTTATGCAGGAAGTTCTCAAAGACTTTCCGGTACTCTGCCTCCTCCTTCTCTGCTTGTTTTTCTGCCTCTGTCTTGGGACAGGCACAGCAAGGTCCTTTCTCTCCCCCACAGCCCTCTGGCTTGGTGGGCTCAGTAGCTTCTTCTGTATCAATGGTCCCATCAGCATATCTCCGAATAGGGACTTTATCTTGAGAAGAAATAAGTAGAGATTGTGTTTCCCCTCTAACATTACAAATGGGTACAGTAACAAACCATATTCAACCCCTCTACCTCCATTTGCCATTATTCATAGAGACATGATGAAACAGGGAACTACAACGTGCACATGAATGGTCAAGCTTTGACCCACGTGAATAATGCAAACCGACAAGTATGCATCTAAGGCATTTTAACACGAACCTATTTTCCACTCCCTTACCTTTGGAGCAGTAGTTGTGCCGGTAAAGGTAACTGTCCTGGGGCTGTTGTTGCCATCGAACAATATAATAAGACAGGTTGCCATTGGGGAGAGAGGGTGGATTCCATTTCACAATGAGTTGGGAAGAAGAGTTGGATGCGGAAATAACATCCAGAGGGATAGACGGCACTGGGGAAGGAAAAAAAACCACATAGGCATAATCCATAAGGATAGATTTTTGGGAGAAGGCTGAGAAACCAACGATCCCCAGTTAACCATTTTGAAAAAATTGCTCATCTCACCATCGGAAAAAGTATCCATAATCTCCCTATAAGCTTATGGATGCGAACGTATTAAAAAAAAAAAATGCCCCAGAGCGACGACCTAAAGTTGCATTTGATAACATTAGTTGACCTCAATGGATCAAAACTGGCAATCCTCACTCCAGGACATCTTCCACTAATTTTCACTGGGAATACCACCTAAATAATGGCCCCAGAACTTGGCCTGGAACCTGTATAAGCTATAGTTAATGACACTGTGATTCTCTTAAGTCTACGTAAGTCAGAGAAATTTCAATTCATGTAACAGCAGAATATGCTTTTCAGTTGCTACTTGCTAAATGAAGCAACTATCTACACTAAAAAGTTATATCAATTTAGTTTGGTTTCACATGAAAAAGTACAAATGGCACAACTTTCGAGGTGCCGAGAGAACTTCTGAGAAAACAATCCACAGAAACAAACAGCCTCAACTGCATGCCTATAGAAACACAGAGCCCTTTCTTGAGGCAAAATCTTCTAATCTGTAAATTCTCTCCTTGTCTATTTATTGTCAGTATATGCATCAGAAACTTCTTGCATTGCTGCTGTTGTGTTATATGAACAATGGCCAGCTATTTTCAGCGAACATTTGTGCAAAATATATAGAAAAAATAAAATATGCAGAATGGGTCTTTTCTTAGTTTTGAACAAACAAAAAGTTTAGTTGTTTCTGCCTACACTCAGTACCATCATGGCCTTGTTGAATTCAAGGCTGAAGAACAGTGATAAACTTTCAAGATTTTACTTTATATATCATGGCTCCTGAATGATCAATAGTGCAAGATACCCTTTCACCTATATGGCATTATCACCTTAAGCATTTGTAGAGCTCAGTGTCTCCACAAACTTGCTCCAATACAGAATCATCTTGCATGTACTAGAAAAACCACTGTCTACAGGATCAGCTGGATTTGCTTTAGGAGATCTAGGGCAAAAATGTATTTTCAAATGTCATAACTTTTCTTTTACTATACTCAGGGTTTAATGCACTTGGACTGCCGTTCTGAAATACAACAATTTTGAACATAGCTGAGACTAACATGAATGTTTCCAAGGTAAACAAGATGGCCTAATATTTATTACCCTCCAAAAAACCAAACATGTAAGCTAGTCATTCATGCAGAAATGAAAATGATGGGCAAAACTTAGACAGAGCTAGAACCTGACTTTAGAGCACCAGAGATTCACCCCCATTGTCTCAAAAATTGACATACTGAGCCATTTTGTTTTTCAGTTACTTAACACAGATAGATGCTCTGCTATTTGAAGGTTTATAAAACACATTTTGGAAGCTTGAGGGCACCACGTTGAGCAGAAGGGAACAAGATTACCCTGTGCTGTGCTATAGTACCAAGAACTGGGTGTTAAGGACAAGCATACTATAGTCCTATGCAACAAGAGCCTTGTGCTCCTTTCTGTACCTGGAAAGGAGACCCTTGCCTACTCTCACTGCTGTATTTTCAGCAAAAAATATAAAATAGATACTGACCGTAACAAAGTGCAGTATTCTTAAAATTGCAACCGACGCCCAGGCAAAAGCCAAGCTATTAAACAGGTACTTTGCGTCGGTCTTTCATCAGTCCCATAGGACGCCCCTCCCCATTACGGGACAGGGAGGCCTGGGTGAGGGAGATTCCCTGCACTCCATCAATGTTGACCTTGTGAAGGAACACCTTGAGAGGCTGGACACCTTCAAGTCAGCTGGACCTGACAATCTACACCCCAGGGTACTCGAGGAGCTGGCTACCATCATAGCCCAGCCCCTGGCACGGATCTTCAAGAGCTCCTGGTGCTCTGGTGAAGTGCCTGAAGATTGGAAGAAGGCCAATGTGGTGCCTATCTTCAAGAAAGGGAGGAAAATGGATACGGCAAACTACAGGCCCATCAGCCTGACCTCTACCCTGGGGAAGGTCTTAGAAAAGATAATTAAAGAGGCCATTCTTAACAAACTGGCCGACGGCAACATCCTAAGGGATAGCCAGCACGGGTTTGTTGCAGGTAGGTCTTGCTTGACCAATCTTATTTCCTTTTACAAACAGGTGACCTATCACCTAGACAAGGGAGAGGAGATTGATGTCATATATCTCGACTTCAAAAAAGCCTTCGACCTGGTATCCCATCATCACCTCTTGGCAAAACTGGCCAACTGCAGCCTCGGGTCCACTACGATCCACTGGCTAGGGAATTGGCTCCGTGGTCAGACCCAGAGGGTGGTGGTTGACAGAAGTCAATCGTCAAGGTGCCCTGTGAGGAGTGGGGTCCTCCTTCTTGGACCTATATTGTTCAACATCTTCATTAATGATGTGGACATTGGAGTCAGAAGCGGACTGGCCAAGTTCGCTGATAATACCAAACTCTGGGGTAAAGCATCCACACCTGAGGACAGGAGGGCAATCCAGGCTGACCTTGACAGGCTCAGGAAATGGGCGGACAAGAACCTGATGATGTTTAACACAGAAAAATGCAAGGTTCTCCACCCTGGGAGGAAAAACCTGCAGCATCCTTATAGGCTTGGCAGTGCTACGCTGGTTAGCACTACAGATGAAAGGGACTTGGGGGTCATCATTGACCACGAGATGAACATAAGCCTTCAATGTGATGCTGCGGCTAGTAAAGCGAGCAAAACGCTGGCTTGCATCCATAGATGCTTCTCAAGCAAATCCCAGGACGTCATTCTCCCATTGTACTCGGCCTTGGTGAGGCTGCAGTTGGAGTACTGCGTCCAGTTTGGGGCTCCACAATTCAAAAAGGATGTGGAGAACCTTGAGAGAGTCCAGAGAAGAGCCACGCTCAGAGGTGATGATCAGAGGTCAGGGAAACAGACCCTATGATGACAGGCTGAGAGCTATGGGACTCTTTAGCCTGGAAAAGCACAGGCTCAGGGGCGATCTGATGGCCACCTGGAAGTTTATCAGGGGTGTTCGCCAGGATCTGGGGGAATGATTGTTCACCAGAGCACCCCAAGGGATGACAAGGTCAAACGGTTATAAACTCCTGCAAGACCATTTCAGGCTGGACATAAGGAAGAATTTCTTCATTGTCTGAGCCCCCAAGGTCTGGAATAGCCTGCCACCAGAGGTGGTTCAAGTACCTACACTGAACGCCTTCAAGAGAAATTTGGATGCTTATTTTGCTGGGATCCTATGACCCCAGCTGACTTCCTGCCCCTTCGGCAGGGGTCTGGACTTGATGATCTTCTGAGGTCCCTTCCAGCCCTAATGTCTATGAAATCTATGAAAATACACCAGGTCCCCCAAATGAATTTCCTGATTATTAAGCCATTTAAAAGCTGGTGACTTTTCCCATCCACTTACCTTTCTTCCAAAATCCAAGGCTAATAAGGGGCATATAGCATGCCTGTACATGAGCCGGGAGGCTGCTCCAACGTGCTGCAATTGCAGCACGTGGCAGCAGACTCAATTAATGGAGCCTGCTGGAGCATGGTAATTACCGCACTCCAGCCAGCCTCTGCATCTCATGCATCAGCATCCCTGCGCTTCAAAATGACAGCAGAGGCGCTTTAACTCAGAGGTGCTCTAATTAAAGCGCCTTCCACCCCCAGAGCATGTGCAAGAATGCCCATCATTCCTTAAAGGACATAACACCAAAAGCCCAGGATCTTACCTGCAGCATTGGTGCGTATATACACAATCTCGCTCTTGGCTCCGTGAATGTGGTGGTTCTCCATCATTGTGAGGGTAACAGCCTTGACATAAATGGCATATTGAGTCCAAGGTTTCAGTCCCTGCAGCAAAATCCCAGGGTTGTTCTCTTTGTTTGGGGGCAGGTCGACATCCACCATGTTCCAGCTGTTTGAGCCGCATGCATCCTGCCCATCATACTCTGTCACATTCTTGAACGGTCTGAAATATTTTTAAAAAGTGGCACAGATTGTACTTTTACTTTCTCTTAAAAACACCCAAACATTCATGAGGGAATCTCACGTCAGCCTTGTCCAATGAAACTAATAAAAAAAAGTTTATTTGCTTTTTATAGCAGAATAAAAAACAGAGAATCCCAGCGCCTGGGCTCATCTTTTTATTTCCAAGTGCTATAAAACTCGGAGTTTGGATTTAGCTGGGGGATTTAGACTCAGTAGTTACTGCAAAGGCGGGGTCTCAGGAGACATGGGTACCCCTGGCTTCCTTTCCTTTCCCACAAAAGGAGAGCTGCTGCCTAATTTATCAGTGGGAACAGACATTTGCAATTCAATCATTCCCACTCAAAGGA